CTTAGATTCCACATACAAGTGATATCATACAGCATTTGTCTTTATCTGTCCGACTTATTTTATTTTATTTTATTGGCCACACCATGCAGCTTGCAGGATCTTAGTTCCCTGGCCACGGATTAAACCCAGGCCCTGGCAGTGAAAATGCTGAGTCCTAACCACTGGACCACTAGGGAATTCCCTGTCTGATTTATTTCACTTAGCATAATGTCCTCCAAGTCCATCCATGTTGCTGCAAATGGCAAAATTTCTTTCTTTTTTATGGCTGAGTAATATTCCATTGCATATATGCCACATCTTCTTTATCCATTCATCTGTTGATGGACACTAGCTTGCTTCCATGTCTTGGCAACTGTAAATAATGCTGCTATGAACACTGAGGTGCATGTATCTTTTCAAATTAGTGTTTTTTTGTTTTTTTCAGATATACAACCAGAAGTGGCATTGCCAGGTCATATGATAGCTCTATTTTTTAGTTTTTTGAGAAACCTCCACACTGTTTTCCACAGTGTCTGCACAAATTTACATTCCCACCAAAAGTGTACAAGGGTTCCCTTTTCTCCACATCCTCTCCAGCATTTGTTATTTGTGTTCTTTTTGATGATGGCCATTCTGACAGGTGTGAGGTGATATCTCATTGTGGTCTTCATTTGCATTTCCCTGATGATTAGTGACATTGAGAACCTTTTCATGTACCTGTTGGCCACCTGTATGTCTTCTTTGGAAAAATGTCTATTCAGTTCTTCTGCCCATTGTTTAATTGGGTTGTTTTGGTTGTTGAGTTGTATTAGCTGTTTATATATGTTGGATATTAACCCCTTATCAGTCATATCATTTGCGAATATTGTCACCCATTCAGTAGGTTGTCTTTGCATTTTGTCGATGGTTTCCTTTGCTTTGCAAAAGCTTTTAAGTATAATTAGGTCCCATTTGTTTATTTTTGCTTTTATTCCCTTTACTTTAGGAGATGGATCCAAAAAATAGTGCTTTGATTTATGTCAAAGAGTGTTCTGCCTACGTTTTCCTCTAGGTGTTTTATAGTATCTGGTCTTACATTTAGGTCTCTAAACCATTTTGAGTTTATTTTTTTTATATAGTGTTAGAGAATATCCTAATTTCATTCTTTTACTAAAGTATGCAAATTTAGAATGATATATTCAGGTAGAAAATAAAGCAAAGACGCAAACAAAATTAGTTTCAATAAAATAGGAATAATAATACTGTCTACTTCATAAAGTTATTATGTGGCTAAACATATGCATTTCTTCTTAAAATTAGGTTCCATAAATGGTCAACTCTTCTGTAGATTTTAATGCTGTCAAATACATTCACTTTTTCAGTTCTTTAATAGCAGTCATTTGTTAGCCAGTGATACCTAATGAGATAGAAATAAATTTTTCCTTCTTTATATTTCAAAATATTTCATACATACAGGAGTATTATGTAACATATATGTAAAGCATAAAGAAAAAGAACAAAACATACATCATACATTCACCATGAAGCTTTAGGAAAAAAACATTTCTATTACTTTTGAGGCCCACAGCTGGAAAAATTTCATATCTCTATGAAAAAATATTTATTTGTTGAGTACATTTATTGTTCAGTATGTTTACTGCACTCAACAAGTTAAAACAAGTTTAGTTTACTGGACAGATGTATACATATACATATAGAAACTTGTTCATTGTGTTGTTCAAATCTCCCTATCATTATTTATTTTTGATCTGTCTGATCTGTCAACCACACAGAGAGAGGTGTGTAAAAATATTCTACTCTGATGGTAGATTTCTCTGTCCTAATAGTTTTATCAATTTTTTGGCTTTATAGGTTATTATATGCAATCAAGTTTAGAATTGTCACATACAACATGAAGTGAACACTTCTTTAATAGTAACACCCTCTTTATCTCAAGTAATGCTTTTTGCCTTACGTATTACACCAGTTTTGTTTTGCTGTTGTTGCTGTTTTGTTATTGTTACTCTTTCCCTGGAATATATTTTTTCCATCATTTTATTTAAAACATTCTGTGCTTTTATAGTTTGGGTATTTCTCTTCTAAACCTCATTTAGCTGAATTTTTTAAGTCTAACATGATGAACTTTGTCTTTTCATAATGCTGTAGTCCATTACACTTACCGTGACTCCTGATATGTTGGATTGTTTCTGCCATCACATGCTCTATTTCTAATTGTCTGTGTTTGTTTGTTTCAATTCTTATCTTCTTTGGATTGACTTTTTTCTCATTCCATGTTTTTCTATCTCCAGATTTGGATGTTATACACTGTACTTCAATTATTTTTGGTGGCTGCCTACCTGGAATTTTTGTTTTCAGTCACATGTACAAAAGTTAAATCTGAAGTTCTCGCTCACAGAGCCTCCGTCCATGTCCCCAGGGCAGCTGTCAGCTTCAGAGCTATATCATCTCGGAATAATGCTCCCGTTTCATACTTCTCCTTTGAGGAACTCAACTCCATACTCTCTCCTCAGCTCAAACATGAATTAAAAGTTATCCTTTTAAATATTTTATCCAGCATTTCTAGCATTTTTGGCAGTAAGATTTTCCAGGATATTTAGTCTTCAGTATAAACACATTTGTTTTTGTTTTTGTTTTTTCTCAAGACGGACTAAAAAATACATTTATATATGTATGACTTTTCCATTCAGCAAAGATGTATCAGCTACTACTAAGGGGATGTATGTTTTTATTAGCTGGCTGAACTGTGCACTTCGAACACTATTTACTGTTTGGTAGAAGAGAAGTGTCATGTACAGAAACAGTAATAATATATGGTAGAAATAATATTAAGTAGCCTGTGAGGGACCAGAGGAAACGCTATGAGATGCATTAGAGAAAGGTTTCATCTCAGTGCTCTGCACAAATATATTGTACAAAGGTTTCCTGAAACAGATGCCTTTTGATTGGACCCTATAGGATGGATAAAAGTCCTTTATGTTTGAATTTTTAAAAGTCAGAAAGACTTTGATTTTCAAGCTGTTATGCCTTAGTATAAATCATATACTAAATCAGGAGTTGACAACCAGGTGCACGGGCTAAATCTGGCCTACCATCTTTTTTTGTAAATAAAGTTTTATTGGAACACAGCCATGCTTACAATTTACATATTGTCTATGCTACTTTCCTGCTACAGCAGTACAGCTGAGTAGTTGCCAACCGATATTGCCTGGCCCACAAATTCTGAAATATTTACAAACTGGCCTTTTACCGTAAAGTTTGCCAGCACCCAAACTAAAACATGTTCTATATCATTATACGTTTATAGGGAAGCTTTTTCTTTAGCCTAGCTTTCTCCTTCTCATTTATATATATATATATATATATATATATATATATAATTTAAATATGTTTGACTTGGTGGTTCTCACAATAAATATTTATTCATGCACTCCCTGTCTGCTCAGCTCAGCATTTTGGAATGGGTCAAACAGCTCTTCAATAAATTGATCAGACATTCTTGCATGCATTAAATAAAATATCACAATATCCTCTCTCAACTGAAATTAGCTGGCCTTTAAACTGGGAAGGGTTTCAGATTCTAAACTACTTTATATGCTAGTGCAACTATGTTTGCTTTAATTATGAGAATTAAAATAGAAAAAAGTGTCAGTTGGCAAAGCAGGAAAGGGATTTGAGAATTTTTTAAGTAATCATTAAAGTTCTGCTCAAAAGCTGTTGATGTTAAAATGAAAATATAATGAAATCCCCATACTTCAAACACTGCAGTGCTCGGACTTCACTTATTGAATGCAGTTTCCAGGGAGTCCCAGTTCCCCACAGTTATCATAGATGTGGAACATCATGCTAACTGCCTTAACTGACAATAGCATGTGTGTTCTCTGATCCTGGGGAAACTCACATCCAGCAAACGAGCTTAGATACACAGATACATCTGCTTAGACATTTCCCACGAGTTTCTCTTTTGGTGTAAGAGCCAATGACTATTAAGCCTGGGACAATTTTCTTAGTTCTCATCAACAAAATGAAGGCTTCCTTTCTCTGGAGAATCACCGGCTGTCACGGTGCTCTGTACAGAACATGGAACCGTTTCTGTTTGTAGCAGTTTGAGAGAGAGGGGTATGGACTAATGGGGAGCGGAGGAAACCTCAACCATATTAAGTGTGAATGTTCTTGGGGAAATGCTTTGCCTCAACAAATGTAGTTGCCCGAAGTCCAGCAGTTATCAATAAAGAGTAATAGCAACTCTCATACATATGACCTGGGAGAGATCAAGCAAAACTGGGGCATGGAAAAATCTGAATATTTGCAAGTTATGGTTTAGAGCTTGTAATGTGATACGACAGATCTAAGCTAGCTCAACTGTAACATATATATATATACACACACATATAGGTATATACGTACAGACAGTCCAGTCTGTGTCCTGTGTGGAATACTTGATGCCACACAGATGTCTCCAGGAATGGAAGTGAAGGAAGATACTTCATGGAAGACAGCTTGCCTAGCAATGTAGTTTAAAATAGTCATTTCCCAAGTATGCATCATGCTTCAACCATGGATCTTGGGACCAATTTACTGTGACAAATTTTTTAAAAACAGTAATCTGTATTAAACTTCAAACAGAATAAGACAGAAAATATCAGAGCACATTCTACAGAGTTAGGCTAAGAATCTTGTATAACGTTTGCCTTATATACACATGACTGTGGTTGTAAGATGTGGAGTCCCAGTCAAAAATACTTTGAAAGTCACCTGTCAAAGAAGCAGAGTCACGGAGTGGATACAGGAATTCCACTGTTGGGAAATTATATGGAATGATTATATAGAGTCTATTTATATACGGTTCAGTGCTAATAAGCACTACTGGAGCTAATAGAAGACAGGCTAATACATTTCTTACCTCTGGTGGTAAGGTTAGGGGGGAAAGTTCAAAAGCTAGACGCCTCTTCTGCTACGAAAAAGTGTTTTTGTTCCCGTTTCCAGCATTCCCTTAGCTTGCTCCCATTTTCTCTTCTGCCCAGGAGATTGCATCAACAATTTGAAAGCTATAAGGAGCAAGTGAGAAAAATAGGGGAAGAAGCACGGCGTTACCAGGGTGAGCACAAAGACGATGCTCCGACCTGCGGGATCTGCCACAAGACCAAGTTCGCCGATGGCTGCGGCCACCTGTGCTCCTACTGCAGCACCAAGTTCTGCGCGCGCTGCGGGGGCCGCGTGTCCCTGCGGTCCAACAACGTGAGTAGAGCCGCCCACGGTGCGCACAGGTGGATGCGCCCCGCCTCCCCCGTGACCAGAGCAGGGGACGAGCGATGCAGATAATTCATAAAAGATGCGCTTTCTGTATGTGTGTATCTCGATAAATGATTCCCATTCAACACCAACAGATTACCTATGGGAGCAAGTTTATTTTCTGAAGAAAGTAGTTAATGTAGATTTAGTATCGTGAATTATGAAACCCTTGACGCGTGTTACCACCAATTCTTCTGGTACAAAAAAAGCAGAACAAAACAACCTACCTTGAATTTCTGCAACATATGTTTCAGATTGAATGAAGATAAAATCAAGGTAGATTGTGTGGCATTAAATTTAACCCAATGCAATCATGTATAAAGCAATAATTAGCCTCTGTGAGAGTAACTTCAAATATGCTATCATGTTAAAAAAAGAAAAGAGTGCTAAGTCTTATGAAAATTATTTGGATATTTAAAGAGTGTGTCAAAATTTTAATTTCGTGGGGGAAAGTGGTGGTTTACCCTTATATCTTCCTAATCTGGAAGATCACAGTTAAAATTAAAGTGAACCTACCCATCAACATTGTATTCTTTGGTAGTGTATTTGAGTTGTAAGTAGGGTATTATTCTAAAGTCTCTTCTAGGGGAATTAAGACATTTAGTAAAATAGATGCATTATTAAACTTAAGATGAGCCTACTATTTTCTTTGTAGCCTTAACTTCTCCGAGCAACAGCATCTTTATCTATGAAACTGCATGGTAGTAATTAATGCATATGGTTGTTATGAGAATTAAAACAATTCAAATCTATGCAACTTTAATTTTTCTTTATGTTCCGTTCTTATGGTCACATAAGTTTTCTTTTTTCTTCCTAAAAGTTATGTGTTTTAGCTAATCCTCGTATGCTACCTTAAAGCCTTTCCAAAACAAGCTTGGATTGAGATCGTGTCTGGTGCATAAAAAGTGCACAGGACCTATTTGTTAAATTTCCCTTCTTTAGTTCTTGAACACACTTTTTGGAATGAATTCTTGCAAATGAGACCTGTGACGGTATTCAAAATATTAACAACTCATGCAGTAAGGGTACTGTCCAATCTGAAAGGGTGCTGACGCTGAACGCTAGGGTGCAAATGGGCTGAGTGCCCATAGCTGTTGAATGCTTTTAACTTCACATTATAGGTTTGAGGCAATCCAATAACATAGAATCAAACTCATATTTTAAACAGGAGAGGGGTTTAAAGGAAATTGAGCTAAGAGGTACCTGTGCTTTTGAGCAGACAAGCAGGCCTAATGTAGTTCATCCATCTTTACTAAACCCATTCAATCTTGGAAAAAATATTCAAAAAACAAAACAAAGCACAACTTAAAATATTTAATCTTGGACAAAGGACACAAAATTGTATAAAGTTGTTTTTCTCCTGTGACACTGTAAATTTTGAAATACCTGTTATGAATAAATCTTCCTTGTGAGATAATTTATGGCTAAATGGTTAACAGATTTCTTTTCCCATTTTTATTTATTACAAATACTTCCCATTCTTAGATTTTTCCAGGTCATAACTATAAATATTTTAAGAGTAATTTGATATAATTATTCATTCAAATTTTATGCATTTAAATATGTCTTTTCAATAATAGGTGGACTAAATATGGTAGTGAATTAAGTTTTCTTTCTGAAGAATGATTTAAATGTAGATTTAATAATCCAAGTTCTCGAAAGTTCTGAAATTATAGTGCCCAACTTTTGTACCTAACTTATAGCAGGATCAGTATATGTGTATTTTCAACAAAAGATTGAACAGTGACTATTTTTTGGTAAGAATAAATATTTACTTTTTAAACTACCTGTGCTTTTATATTTTAAAGTAACACATGATTGCTTTCTTAAAATCTGTTTATTAATATATGCCTTATTTTTGTTTTTCTCTTCTTTTCCCTCTCTCTTTACTCTGCTTCCTTGGATGCTTTCCCAAAGGAGGACAAAGTGGTTAGAATCCATGATTTCTTTTCTATCGTTTGTTATTACAATGCTGTGAACTTTATTAAGTGAATGTTTCACGTAGTGTTGTTAATCACTATATTTCACAAAGAAATTACATGCTAGGAAGAGCTCATTCGTAGCTCTCATTGAAAAATAAAATGAACATCTAGGAGCATTACAGAGTTTTATATTAATAGATAAAGTCTGGGTAGTTTGTGTTCATGGGAACAGTGATATTTTAACATAATTTAAATCATTATGAAGCTCATTTGTCCTCTTAGCTCCCTGAGTTTTGAGGATGATTCATCTGCCTTGAGGAACAATAAAGTCTAATGGGCCTTACCTTTCTCATCACCCATTGGATACATGGCGGGTGATTTGAAACTCTACAGCAGGAGCAATGGGATGTACTGATTTAGTGGAGAGAATGGATCAAATTAAAATCAAGAGCTCAGAATAAAATGATTGTTCTATAGAACACAAGTAGCAGAGTTGTCATATTGAACCACAGTTTTGCTCTTTTCTTCTCCCTCATGCATTGAAATCACTCCTAAGGAAGTAAAAGGTCACCTTTAACTCTTATCAGCCTTGGAAATCACAGAGGATGTACTCAGTGAGATAGGAGACAAGTGGACTCTTACAACAGCCTGTCCTTTGCAGACATACTATACACTTTCATTTGGTGTAAATTACAATTTCCCGATATGAGACTGAGGCAATGAGTATTTTGGGTTCAATATATCAACTCAGCTGCCTCTGTTCAACTGTTTTAAAGTTTAGATTACATACTGCAGTGTGTAGGCAGCAAGCCTGACATTAAGCTGAACATTAACTTGTGTTTTTAAACTTGATGTTAGTATATGTTCATAAGTTTTTTCTATGAAAAAGAAATCAGGGTATTATATAGGGTAGTTATTTTCACTAAATGTGTTTGCCTGTACCATTGGTGGTACGTGAGATCATTCTAGGGGCTATTATTTTAATGCAATACCGGTTTCCCCCACTATCTGAAAATAGAGATTTTCTATGATAACTTTTGTAAGACCAAATGGCATAAAGAGAAGAAACAATTACCTCTGGACATATCTTGCTAACGAATGCACAAAATAAATCAGATAAGGCACAAATGCCCACAGACACATTTCAAAGCTGTGGTGGCTGGATGCTGAGGTGCTGAGTGCGGTCCCTGGGGAAGGAGCTTGGCAGGGCTGCTCTCTCTGCTCTGGGTGTGTACTACCTCTATAACAGCTCACTCCAAAACAAACACGGAACGCTAATTTTCACATCTCACCTTTTTTCTTTCGTAAAAGCAAAGTGGAGTGAAGGGAACTTTTAAAAAGCGGGGGATACGTGTAATGTATTGTATTAGGAAAAAAAACATAATTAGACTATCACACTTTTGGTTTCATGAACACTACTTTGGATGAGTCTACATTTGAAATGTAGGTAATTTTAAAATCCTTTAAAGAATAAAAGTTTAAGTACATAAATAATGCTGGTGTTGTGCAGACTTCAGCTACTTCCGTAGGGCTGGCCAGATTGATTGTTCCCATACAGGTAGGGTATTTGTGCTTGTTATGATTACTGACTCTGTAATAAGAATTCAGGGGGATTTTGTGGTTGTCAGTCAAAAATAGAATGAAAAAACCTGTAAAATACAATCACTTTCAATTACTATCTTCACTTTGATTAGAACGCATATATCTACCGTTTATGTTTAAATACTTCGTCAAAATTTCATTAAAATGCTTCTTAGCTGATTGAGGTTGACAATGAATTTCCATTTTGGTCCAAGGAAACTGAAGCCAGATTTTGTCTTAGTTGTGTTAAAGAGAATAGCCAAGTATTAAGCAAAGTACTTGATTGTTATTTCTTTCCCTATTCCTCTGAGATCTTTTATTTTTCGTAGAGAAATTATAATTTACAGATGTGTGGAGGGGGTGCTTTTATGAGAGGAAAGCAAAGACTAATAAGGATGAATAAAACTTTCCTAAAAGGAATCTCCATCTTGTTCAATAAAATAATGATAAAGTCTACTTAGTTTGTTAAATTGGTGAATAAAGTGACTAAAATACTAGTGTATATGATATGAAGACCTAAGGATAGCTAGGACATAAATATTTCTTTACTGAGTCCAGTGAAAAGTATTAATGATCACATCTTTTGCAACCTGGCAATATTTTATTTCAAAACTTCACTCTTAGCCTAAATCACCTCTAGTAATTTGGGAGATTGTGTACTTATAAAGAAAACAGCTTGTCATGAAGAATCACTTTGCACTTGACGCATGTATAAAATAATCTCATTATAAATTATTACGTGTGTAAAGTGCAAAGTGCACACTCTGAGAGATAAAATGATAATTTTTATTTCATCGAAAGACTTCTCTGAAGTCTAAGTATATAGGGATACTGTGGATTTCCCCACAGCCTGTTTAAATTGGTTTTTTTTTTTTAACATCTTTATTGGAGTATAATTGCTTTACAATGGTGTGTTAGTTTCTGCTTTATAACAAAGTGAATCAGCTATACATAACCATATATCACCATATCTCCTCCCTCTTCCATCTCCCTCCCACCCTCCCTATCCCACCCCTCTAGGTGGTCAAAAAGCACCGAGCTGATCTCCCTGTGCTATGCGGCTGCTTTCCACTAGCTATCTATTTTACATTTGGTAGTGTATATATGTCCATGCCACTCTCTCACATCATCCCAGCTTACCCTTCCCCCTCCCCGAGTCCTCAAGTCCATGCTTTACGTCTGTGTCTTTATTCCTGTCATGCCCCTACATTCTTCAGAACCTTTTTTTTTAGATTCCATATGTATGTGTTAGCATGCAGTATTTGTTTTTCTCTTTCTGACTTACTTCACTCTGTATGACAGTATCTAGGTCCATCCACCTCACTACAAATAACTCAATTTTGTTTCTTTTATGGCTGAGTAATATTCCATTGTATATATGTGCCACATCTTCTTTATCCATTCATCTGTCGATGGACACTTAGGTGGCTTCCATGTCCTGGCTACTGTAAATAGAGCTGCAATGAACATTGTGGTACATGACTCTTTTTTTTTTTTTTGGCGGTACGCAGGCCCCTCACTGCTGCGGCCTCTCCCGTTGTGGAGCACAGGCTCCGGACGCCCAGGCTCAGTGGCCATGGCTCACGGGCCCAGTGGCTCCGTGGCATGTGGGATCTTCCCAGACCGGGGCACGAACCCATGTCCCCTGCATTGGCAGGCGGACTCTCAACCACTGCACTACCAGGGAAGCCGCATGACTCTTTTTGAATTGTTTTTCTCAGGGTATATGCCCAGTAGTGAGATTGCTGGGTCACATGGTAGTTCTATTTTTAGTTTTTTAGGGAACCTTCATACTGTTCTCCATAGTGGCTGTATCAATTTACATTCCCACCAACACTGCAAGAGGGTTCCCTTTTCTCCACACCCTCTCCAGCATTTATTGTTTCTAGATTTTTTGATGATGGCCATTCTGATTGGTGTGAGGTGATACCTCATTGTAGTTTTTATTTACATTTCTCTAATGATTAGTGATGTTGAGCATCCTTTCAGGTGTTTGTTGGCAATTTGTATCTTTTTGGAGAAATGTCTATTTAGGTCTTCTGCCCATTTTTGGATTGGGTTGTTTTTTTGATATTGAGCTGCATGAGCTGCCTGTGTATTTTGTAGATTAATCCTTTGTCAGTTTCTTCATTTGCAAATATTCTCTCCCATTCTGAGGGTTGCCTTTTCTTCTTGTTTATGGTTCCCTTTGCTGTGCAAAAGCTTTTAAGTTTCATTAGGTCCCATTTGTTTATTTTTGCTTTTATTTCCATTTCTCTAGGAGGTGAGTCAAAAAGGGTCTTGCTGTGATTTATGTCATAGAGTGTTCTGCCTATATTTTCCTCTAAGAGTCTTATAGTGTCTGGCTTTACATTTAGGTCTTTAATCCATTTTGAGTTTATTTTTGTGTATGGTGTTAGGGAGTGTTCTAATTTCCTTCTTTTACATGTAGCTGTCCCGTTTAACCAGCACCACTTATTGAAGAGGCTGTCTTTATTCCATTGTGTATTCTTGCCTCCTATTAAAGATAAAGTGACCATATTTGTGTGGGTTTATCTATCTCTGGGCTTTCTATGCTGTTCTGTTGATCTATATTTCTGTTTTTGTGCCAGTACCATACTGTCTTGATTACTGTAGCTTTGTAGTATAGTCTGAAGTCAGGGAGTCTGATTCCTCCAGCTCTGTTTTTCTTTCTCTCAAGATTTCTTTGGCTATTCAGTCTTTTGTGTTTCCATACAAATTGTGAAATTTTTTGTTCTAGTTCTGTGAAAAATGCCAATGGTAGTTTGATAGGGATTGCATTGAATCTGTAGATTGCTTTGGGTAGTATAGTCATTTTCATAATGTTGATTCTTCCAATCTAAAAACATGGTATATCTCTCCATCTGTTTGTATCATCTTTAATTTCTCTCATCAGTGTCTTATAGTTTTCTGTATACAGGTCTTTTGTCTCCTTAGGTAGGTTTATTCCTAAGTATTTTATTCTTTTGTTGCAATGGTAAATGGGAATGTTTCCTTAATTTCTCTTTCAGATTTTTCATCATTTGTGTATAGGAATGCAAGACATTTCTGTGCATTAATTTTATATCCTGCTACTTTACCAAATTCATTGATTAGCTCTAGTAGTTTTCTGGTAGCATCTTTGGGATTTTCTATGTATAGTATCATGTCATCTGGAAACAGTGACTGTTTTACTTCTTCTTTTCCGATTTGGATTTTTATTTCTTTTTCTTATCTAATTGCTGTGGCTAAAACTTCCAAAACTATGTTGAATAATAGTGGTGAGAGTGGGCAACTTTGTCTTATTCCTGATCTTAGTGGAAATGGTTTCAGTTTTTCACCATTGAGAATGATGCTGGCCATGGGTTTGTCATATATGGTCTTTATTATGTTAAGGTAAGTTCCCTCTATGCTTACTTTCTGGTGAGTTTTTATCATAAATAAAAT